ACCCGCAGGAACAGCAGCGGCTTGGCGAGCACCGCACGCCGCAACACCTCGTTCGGTACGCCGTCGGGTCCGGAAGCTTTCCCGGCCGGGAGTCGCCGGGCCGCCTCGAGAAGCTCGGCCGGCGAGAAAGGATCGCCGTCGAGCACCGCTTCTTCGCCGGGATCGAGGGCCCCGCCCCCGTCCCGTTGCCGCGGTACCGCTGACCAGTCGATCGTGGGGAGCTGCGGGAAGAGATGGTCGGCGATGGCGCCCTCGTGGCCGCGCGCCTCCGCACCCGGTGGGTTCCGCCTTAACTTTTTTGACACCAACTTATAAGGCAGTCCCCACGGGTCGTTGTCGACAGCTGCGCACAGCTTTCGCCATCCCTCCTCTTGTGCCGACCGCACCGCAACGCACAACTCCTTCCTCGCCGCCCGGAACGCTTCTCTCAGCTCACCCTCTTCCTCTTCGCCTCGCTGCCGCCGTCGGTGCCTCTGGTACCGTCTCCTAGAAGCCAGACACGCCCGCCGCATCCGGGCGATGTCCTCGGACCACCAGTGCACCGGTCGCCTACCGCCCGCTTCCGCTGGTCTCCTGGGCATTGACGCGTCGCACGCCTCCGTCAAGTAGTCGGAGAGCAGAACGGCCGCCTCTTCGGCGGCGACGTTCTCCGGTAGCTCCGGCTGCCGCTCGTCGAGAAAATTGGCCAGTCTCGCCGGATCCAGTTTCCGGCAACACCAGCCCGGCGGTCGATTTTCCCGACTAACGCGGCCGCTCTCCACCGCCCGTTCGCGCGATTGCCCACCAGTAATCAACTCGTAGTATAAGTACTGGTGGTCGCTGTCGCTGAAGGCCTCCAGCACCCTCCAGTCGGAGACCCTCGACGAGTCTCGCAGCCGCGCGAACGTGACGTCGATGACGGATTCAGACCCCGCTCGCCGGAATGTCGGGCTATCCCCGACGTTGGAGACGACGAGACGGAGGTCCGCTGCCCATTCGACTAACATCCTGCCCCGAGCGTCCTCGAGCGCCGAGCCCCAGTCTCCTGACTTGGCGTTGAAATCGCCACCCACGATGATGTCCGTGACGTGTAAAAATGACTAAGTAAAAAAATATTAGATTTTTAAGCACTATAAAGATGTAATATCATGAATTAATGATAAGTATATTGAATTTAAGTAAACGTATTTTGTTTCAATAATTTATTTATTTGGCAAGGAATTATTTCTTGAAAAAAAATTTAGAATAATATAAATATTAATAATAGTATTATTACCACAATCTCGTTGGTCTAAAAACATTTTATAATTAGTTGCATCGCTTTCAGTTCTAGTAACATAATAAAAATGTAATATTAAAAAAAAAATAATAATAAACATCCTTGTAAAACTATAGGCTTCTTCGCTCCACTCAGAATCTAAAATAATTTGCCGCCCTAAGCATTAGCTTAAAATGTTTACTGGAAAATCGGCATTGGCCATTTAATTATTTTGTTCATCACACTTTGTTTCGTTTAAGAAATAATTCCTCGCCAAGTAAATAAATTATTTAAACAAAATACGTTTACTTAAATTCAATATAGTTAGCATTAATTCATGATATCACATCTTTATAGTGCTTAAAGATCAAATATTTTTCTTTTACTTAGCCATTTTTATACGAAGTTTACGAAGGGTTTTTGTTGTGTTTTTGTTGTAAAACTATAAAATGTTACGAGACCTTATATTCAGCGATTATACGTCATATATATATTTATATTATTGCCGAATGGCCGAATGGATAAGACTATCTATACATGCATCGTTATCGGGCTTGGTAAAATGAGTATTTCTCGAATATGTAATTTATATGTAATCTTTATTTTAACTATTATTTTTCTTGAAATATTTATTCCACGTTTGATCGCGTAGTCGTAATATTGTTAACGTACGTGGTTTTTTTTAAGTTGTATTTTGGTTTATTGTATACATTGTATAACGAATGGAAAAAAAAAACAAAGTAATATTTATAATTTCTTTAAAAATAAAAAAGATAATTACAACAACAGTAATAACTATGAAGAATCTTTAGAGCCATCACAATCTTTGTCAGGTGTCATTAGAAAAACATTTAAACTGGAGGAGAGAAAATAATCTTAAAATATTAAGAAAATATTATTCAAACTACTTGAAATTTGCATTTATTCAAGAACCTGATAGTGATCTGCATCCACGGCCACTTTGTGTTGTGTGTTCTGACATATTATCCAATGATGCTATGAAACCTTCGAAACTTGCAGACACTTCCAATCAAAACACAAGAATCACAAAAAATAAAAAGCCGTATACAATTGGAGAAGACTTAATTAAGCCTTGCATGTCACAAGCCGGTGAAGTAGTATTGCGAAAGCGGTCTATAAAGAAACTCAAAGAAATTCCTATGTCTGCTAATACTATCAAACGCAGAATTGAAGAAATGGCTGATAATATTGAAAATCAAGTTATAATAATGGTGAAAAATTTACCATTTTACTACAATACTCAATAAAGCTTCTCCTTTGTTTTGTGAGGGTTGAGTATGGAGGAGGACTACAGGAGGAACTTCTTTGTTTGCTCAAATTGTCGGGTAGAACAACTAGCTCTGAGATTTTCGAAAAACTTGATAGTTATTTTCAGAAACATGGAAATTGAGTAGAAAAAGTGTATTGGTTTATGTACAGATGGTGCTGCAAACATGGTTGACATCTTTCAGGCATTGTCACAAACTTAAAAAATGTCGGTCACTCAGATATTTTGTCGCCCAGTGAATTTTGCATCGTGAGCAACTTGCGTCAAAAAAAATGTCTTCAGAACTACACGAAGTATCATCCGATGTTATTAAAATTATAAATAATATTCGAAACAAAGCACTTAATTCAAGGTTATTTGAGTCATTTTGTGAAGAAATGGGTTCACAATATACACACCTTCTTCTTCATGCAGAGATAAGATGGCTGTCGAAAGGAAAGATTTTAAGACGACTGTTTGCTCTGCGCGACGAAATTAAATTATTTTTCCAACAGCAGAATAATTTAAAATTTCAAGAACTTTTATTCAATGATCAATTGATATCCAAACTTGCATATCTGACAGATATTTTTTCGCTGTTAAATGAACTAAACATATCCATGCAAGGACAACTTAAGGACGTGTTCACAGTACGAGATAAAATAGATGCTATAAAAAAAATATTACTTCGGCAAACGCAGTTAACTGAAGAGGATCTACAAATGTTTCAACATTTTGATGAACATATGAAAGAAAAGGACGTTAACCAGGAGATGGTAGCTATTGTTCAACAGCATATAGAATCACTTGCAGAATCTTTTGGTCGTTATTTCCCAACAAAAGAAGACCCTAGATATGGAAATATGTGAATAATAGATCCATTTTTAGCAAACAATGAAAACAACAAGTTAAATATGAGCGAAAAAGATAGCTTCATCAATTTATCATCCGACTCCAAACTCAAAACTAAATTCCTGGAATTATCAAAATATCATTTTTGGCTGTACGTTAAAAATGAATACCCATTGATGAGTGAAAAAGTGAAAATTTTAATTCAATTTTCGACAACGTATTTTTGAGAAAGCTAATTATATATCTTAGCTAGAAATAAGTAAAGCCCTACTTCTTACAGTGACTTCATTGGAGCCAAAATTGCACGATATTCTTCAAAACATGCAAAAACAAATGTCACATTAAAATTTAATTAAAACTTAAAACTTTTGTCATAAATAAAAATAAATCATTTTTTTAAAATTTTACAAGTGCATTTTTTTTTTTGTTAATTCAATATAAGAGTTATCTGCGGTAAGGTATTTATGTAAAAAGCTATTGTAAGCTATAAGTGGTTCATAGAATTAAGATTATGGTTTTAGTGGTACGCAAGGTCCAAAAGGTTGGTGACCGCTGTTCTAGAAAAATTGAAAAGGCACTCGCAAGATATATTAAAAATAATTTTTTTTTTTTTCTTGGACGCCGTTCTTCGGATCAACCAATCAGATCGGGTCCAAACCGACCCCTCCTTCTCTGAAAGATTATCCCCGTTACAAGTGCATTTTTGCCATCTCTATGGCAAAAACCGTTATTATTTTACACTATGGACGTTTACCTAACATATACCTAACATATTATAAACAGAAACCTTAGTATGAAGCTGTTGCATAGTATCAGAAATATTGATTTTATTCCAAATAAGAATCATATGTACTTTCCCAATACTTGGCCTTTTTTTTTTTTTATTTATTTATTGAATATCTACAATCTATGCTACAAGGCAATAATAGGCAAATATGAACATACAATAAATAATTATACAACCTGAACACATGAGGAGGGAAGCCATACAGTGACAGAACCAAGCGTTAATTTTTTTTTTGTTTATTGTTAACTTCAATTAAATTAAATTAAATTAAATGGTTTGATAGCCGTCAATCCTTTAATAAGTCATGACATCATTTTCTCTTTAGACGAAGTGGGGGATTGTTAGGAAGTGAGTTGGAAGCAAGTTCAGCGATTAGAGGGTTACGGCGACACTGTAATTTAGAGTGAAATTGTTTATAATGTTATGTAGCTAATTGACTTACTGCTTCTATTTTGAAGTGTGAAATTTGATACGTACTGAGGTGCAGAAAAGATAATGCGAAAAGTGATGGATTGGAAGGATTGGAGGGTACGTAATTGAGAAGGTTTGGCGCATCCCCATATTTAGATTGCATATGCCCAAATAGGCTTTACTAAGGATTTGTAAATGATTACTTTTGTATGCAAGGGTAGTTTTGATTTTAGATATGGACGAGGCAAATGTAGACGAATATTGAGAGTTTTTCTTTTTGATTTGATATGAGGACCCCAGGTCAATCTTTTGTCAAGTAAGACGCCGAGATATTTTACTTCTGAGGATATTGGGATTGGTATTCCTTAAAAATGGAGGAGAAGGGGTAAGGACTTTTTTAGTGTGAATGGGACGAAAGTTGATTTGTCAAGGTTAATCCTGATTTTCCAGTTGGATGACCATTTGTTTATAAGATCTAAATGTGTTTGTAAAAAATGAACAGTTTCTACGGGGTCAATATCAGGAGGGAGAATCGCAGTGTTGTCAGCATAAGTAGCCTTAATAGTTTTTGGGATTTTAGGAATATCAACCATGTAAACGTTGAATAAAACAGGAGAAAGGTCGCCTTGGGGGACTGCTTTAATTGGGTAGAATGGCGATACCGAATTCTCACAATAACAAAATAGAAAATATTAAATGATTTATAGGCATGTCTCATACATTCATACTAATATTTAATGTTTATTTTCAATTTAGGCCAATATTAACGTTTTGTCTCCTTCTACATAAATTATTTAAGGTTTATCAATTTTATTTAATTCATCTATATTATATTTTCCCGTTTTTAGTTCAATTTTGTTTCCTACAACTTTTAATAAACAATTTACAGATAAGTAGTTATTAAAAAGACTAATGTCAAGTATTCTTTAATATTACTTGTTACTAAGATAATTTTTGAGATTGTTTAGCTAAAGTAATAATATTAATAATTTTACAGAATATTAACACCTGAAGATGAAAAATTATTAAACAATACTAGCAACATACTATCTCTAAAATTACACCCTTTTGTCAATTTGCACAAAAAATATCATCCGATAAGACCATTAGTAAATTTTGAAACTCCCCTTTTAAGCTACTAATCTTCCCCTTTGAAACTTAACAAATATTTATATAATTATATAAAAACTAATTAAAANAATAATATTAATAATTTTACAGAATATTAACACCTGAAGATGAAAAATTATTAAACAATACTAGCAACATACTATCTCTAAAATTACACCCTTTTGTTAATTTGCACAAAAAATATCATCGGATAAGACCATTAGTAAATTTTGAAACTCCCCTTTTAAGCTACTAATCTTCCCCTTTGAAACTTAACAAATATTTATATAATTATATAAAAACTAATTAAAATATGATTTCATATGGTAATAGAAAACTTTACACTTCTCTACCAAAATCAGAAGGAATACAAAGTTTAAAAGAAAATTTAACTACCATTTACTAAATAAAAACTAATGTAATAAATGAAACTATAAAAATATATTTTATAATAATACAATATATTCACAAACTAAAGGTTTAAGTATGGGTAATCCTTTAAGTGTCCTTATCTCAGAAATATGCTTAAAAACACATTATTACAAATCCCAATATTAATCAATACTATAGGTATGTAGATAATACTTTTCTAATAATTAGAGACACTGATATAAAATATGATAAGTAA